AACCGTGCTGCTCTGTGCCCCACTGAACAGCAGACTTGGATTTCCCAATTCAGTTGAGGATCTGTGGGACTGTGGTTTACCAAAATGCCAGTTACAAAACTGTTAGTGCCTTTTGTTCTGTTTTTGTGTACCAGCTGAAAGCCTGTATGCTTAACTTGCTCTTACCATCATTTAATATAGCCAAAGTATAAAACTGAAAATCCATTATGTTGAAAGAGCTGGTTTGACCTTACTGGTAGGAGTGCTCTTGGCTTTCACACTCTGAAATTATAAATGTGTAAAATATACATACTTGCCTTTGCCAAGATTTTGGATGTTCAGTTTTTTTAACACTGACAAATTACAATTTACGAATTGCCATTCAGTTTTCTCATACTTTACTGTATCCAGAATTCAGATGCCCCTAGAAGAAATCAGTTTTGTTTAATTCCACACTGCGCTACTTCACTAGGAAATGAAAGCCGCCTAAAAGCTGCCAAAACCTGCTGATAGCTTAATAACAAAATCTGTTCAAAATTCTATAGGTTTCCTTACACAAGGGTTTCATAGAATCCTAGAAAACCAGGTTGGAAGGGACCACAGGGATCATCCAGTCCAACCTCTCAAGGTAAAAGTATAGTTTAAGTGAGTTGAGTCAGCACCCTGTCAAGCTGACTCTTAAAACTGACCAATGTAGGGGAATTTACTACTTCGACTGGGAGATTGCTCCAATGTCTGATTGATGCCAGAAGATTTCTTCTGGAGTTCAGCTGGAATCTCTCCAGAAGCAACTTGTGTCCATTACCCCTTGTCTTTTCCATGTGACTCCTTGTGAAAAGGGAGTCTCCATCTTCTTGGTAGCCACCCTTTATGTACTGGTACATGGTGATAAGGTCTCCCAAAAGCCTTTTCTTCCCAAGGCTGAACAGGCCCCGTTTTCTCAGTCTTTCTTCATACAGCAGGTCTTCCAGGCCTCTGATCATCCTCGTAGCCCTTCTCTTGACCCTTTCCAAGGGGGTTTCTTGCATGACAACTGGAACTGTGTTATTGCAAACCCACATATGCTTTAGTTCCAGGCTGAAAAGTCATTGAAGTGCATGCCTTACTCTGTGTAAAAGAATGAGAAAAGAGATGTTCATAGACTCAAGAGGAAAATTGTCTGTTTAAAATGCTTTTTACCATTTGTAATGTTTTTGTACTTTGCTTCTTGCCTTAATAACTTTTCCACATAATCAAGAAGTATTTTGAACAGTACTAAATCCAGTATTGAACCTCAAGGTAATTGGCTACTAACATCTCTATTACTATGGATAACTGCCCATTCACTCTTACTCTAATAGTCCAAAATCATCATGTAATTTGAAACAGAATTTTTGTATTTGGGAAGGGTGAATACTGGCCTAGCAAGGATATACTGGAGAACAGACTTCATATTCATTGCTTCATATTTCTGTGTTGAAATTTAACAGCTGTGTACATTTATGACAGGCAAAATAGCAAGTGTTGTTTTATCCCAATCTTGACCCAGCTACCATTTGTCTTGGAGAAGAGGTTACAAGCCTTGGCAAGCTACTGCCTAAAACAGCTCTGCAACTTGAGGGTTTTTCTTATCTGCTTTAACTTCCAGATTCCACAGAGTCAATTGATAAGATTTTCTTCACTTATTTGTAACATCTCTGGAGTTGATTTTTATCCCGTGAATGTTAACATTGTTTGTCTTGAAGTCATATAATTTGCATAGAATCTAAACATATCGCTCTGCCATCAGGATCTGTAGACTTTCATGTATTATTTCGTAAATACTTCAACGAACTGTAAAAGTGTAGGTATGCTTTTAGAGTTCAGTGTAATACCAAATGTCAGTATTACATTGTACAGCTTGTAGTAAATTCCTTAATATTTTAGCAAGAACGCATTTATTTTAACCATATTTAGTGTCTTTGTTTAATAAAACTCCTAACAAGAAAAAAATAATATGCTTACTAGGAAAAAATACTGAAAAGCTTCAAGAAGTGGCAGAAGAAGTGTAAGGTCAAGCATTGGTATACAGATACTCTTAAAAAATCTGTCATTAAGACATCTTTGGATGTACTTGTCTGGATAGAAAGTCAAAAAGAGATTGCTTAATGACTTGAAAAATGTCTCCTGACTTTCAGCGTTGGATGGCATGGATAATTTTATTGCCATAGATGTGGAATAAATTCAACTTTGTTAAAAATTTCAAAGAGTAGATATTTACTGTTCCGTATGACCAAACATTTTTATGTGGCTTAGGGTGGAGGCCTGATGCTGTCCCAGTTGAAATTATGAAAATCCTGCCAGCTCAGTGGGAGTTATGTGGGCCTCTGTGTAGATCTAAGTAAGCTGTGCTCAAAGGCCAACAGGAGAATCTGTTATAATATCTGCTTTTGAAGATGAGTTAGGATGACCTGGGAGGACTTTCATTGCCCCATCTGTTCTTTAAAGACACTCATAATATTTTTAATGCTCATATAAAGGAACACAGGATCAATTTACAGAAAAACAAACACTGAGACACAGTGATTTCTTGATTGCTATGTAAATTACTGCTGATATCTTAATTACCTGTTTAATGCTTTGTTTAGCAAATGAGTTTTCCTTCCTCAATACAAAGCACTTCAAGTATGTTTGTATCACCACCAGAAGTGTTTTTCTTGAGTCTTCAGCCTTTTCTAGTCGTAAGCATACTATTTCCAAATATACAACAATTCTATATATGTTTTGGTTTTTTTTTTCCAAGCCACTACCAAAAAACATGGTGTCAAGATTATGTGAGTCCAAAAAGGTGTGTGCTGCAGCTGACATGCAACTCCAGGTATGTTGGCTGTATTCTAGTCCCTCCTCTCTATCCAGAACTTACAGAACGTATTTTAATTCTTTCTTGTAATTTTTATTTTAATGTAGACACATTATCTAACCACATGCAAATTAGTGAAAATTAATTCATTTTCTGTATTAATTTTCATGTTGTTTTTGTGAACGTATTCTGTGCTGTCTGCTTAAAGCTAAATGTCGAAATCAAAAACCACAGCTTTTGGAAATGGTTGGAATATCAGAATTCCCAAATGTGGTTTAAGATTGAGTTCTTAAAATAATGAAATCATTTAAGGAGATCTTGCAGTAGAGGAAGCTTTGCTTCCCTTTGGATCATTAAAGTGTAGCAAGACTGAGAGATATATGCCACCTTAGTAAAATCAAACCAACTCGTTTATTTACTGCAATGTGATGTGAGCTCCTTGTCTTCTGCTCTAGTGTGAAAGTGGCAACTCGTTACTGCCATCTAAATTGGTGACTGAGCTATAAGGCTCTAAGACTGCTCTCTTACAGTGTTAGGAGTAGCAATTAGATCCATAAACCTCTTGTTTTCTGTGGGTAGATGTGGCTACCTACCCAGGCATTCCCATAGGCAAACTTTCAACATTGCTTTTCTTCGAAGGAAGTAAAGGAAAATAGGGTTCTATCTAAAATGGATCTTTAGGTTTTTTCAGTTCTGCAACAGCAGTTCTCAGATGTGAACAGTAGCAATAGCATCCAAACAGGTTTTTTTTCAGTGAGAGCGTTTAGTATGCTACAAGCTTGTGCTGATTTTTGTGATTTTGTTTTCTTCCTTGTTTTGCCTTAAGCCAGAAGCATATAATTTTACAGTTGACCTAGTGTTTAGGAGAGAGAACTCTTCTAGTACCTTAATAAAGGGTACTCATCATTTTTGAGATGTGGGAAGTGCCCAAATGATTGCAACCCTGTCTACAAACTTGAGTTGCACTGGTTAACTGAAGTTGATTTAAAAGAAGAACTTAGTTAAATATTTGCAGTTTGCTCCGCAGTTATTTATAATGGTTTAAAACTCGTCAGAATACCAGAGTATGGACCTATGTGTCAGTTACACTAGTCAAAACCAGACTTAACGCTGTTTTCAGTGTATACATATATTTTTCATCGATTAAACTTAACAGATTTTTGAATTATGCTTTCAGTACGGTGCTGGCTGTCAGTGGCCAGTGTTGGCTGTGCAGGAGGTGTGAACAGGGAGAGTGCTACCTATGGCTATATGGCTGTGACATGAAAATAACTGCACCCTCTCTGCAGGTCTGATTTTGCAATGCCCACTCCTGGCTCTGGACAGTTCTCATACAGTGGTAGCTGAGAATCCAGAATGTCAAGGAGGGGTCATTGCATCTGTCCCATGGGGTGGAGTGTGCAACACCCACCACTGTTGCTCCTCAGCTGCTCCTGGGGTCTCTGTAGGGTCTGTCCTGGAGTGACTCCAGACCCCACAGTTTTAGAGCTGAGAAGAGAACACCCACTTCTGGTGGGCTCAGATTCCTGCGAGCGCCTGATGATTGACTGGTTCTGGCACCAGTGCTGTGATTAAGCAGGCTGCTTGCCCTCAAGTTACTCTTATGTAACTAAAGTTCAGCCAGTCTCAAACCGTGCCAAATGACCACAATGCCACAATGAATAATATTATTTATTTCCTACTTTCAGCACCGTGTTTTTGGAGATTTGAAATGTAATACCCACAGAAGTACACACTCATTTCAAAGAGACAGACTGGCAGAGGCACCGTGTTTGTTAATTCAGCAAAAATGTTCTAGAAAAGTTGATTGCCTGGCAAATATAAAGTTCATAAATTCCTTTGTAGAAGTGTGTATTGTTAACTCATGCAGATTTAAAAATATAATAATTCATTGAAGAAAAACATACATTTCAATCTGTAGATGCTAAGGTATGTATGTACTACTAATGTATTTATCTGAAAAAACTGTCAGTGATAACTCTAATATCTCTCCTTCAGACTTCACAAAGAGTATATTCTGTATTGATGAATAGATGCTATGTAAGCTATATTTGACCTTTAAAAGAAAGAAAAATGCTTACAAATTTTCCAGCAGTGGGGAAATGCCTAAAGGTTCTTTTATGGTCTGTTCAGAAAATAATTCTATTGGCACGTGAAAATTAGAAATTATGCTGGTTTTTCATCATAACTATAATGCCCCTACATTTTCTTCCAGCTCATGTAATCAGTTACTCAAGAGGAAAGGCAGGATAACCCATCCATCTTCTCATAAGGCTTTTTCCATGCAGATTGAGCCCAGAGTCTTTCAGTCAGTAGTAATTTCACTGGGAAATGCATAGCTGTTTCCATATTAATGTTATTAAGGAGACAAGGAGCTAGAAAGTACTGGAATCAAATGAAGCTAATAAATACCAGTGTCAGTGCAAAATAGACCGTATGAAGATAGATCATGGCCTTTCTATATTTTTAGGTCTTCTGGGAAATGTTTTTTTACTGAAATTAGAAATCATCTAGCGCTACTGTTTAATAGTAAGTGTTAGCATGCTCCTCAGCAGTATCACCTAAAATCCCGTGGTTCTGGGATGTGCCTCCCTTTCCCATTTCAAAGGCCTGTATAAACACACAGAACTGTGGTTTGTAGATGGGAATGCTTATGGCTATAAAGTTCATCTAAGTTTATCTTCAGGAATTATGATTTTTTTACTATGCTGTCCAGGTGTCCTGGCTCAGAGCTTTTTTCCCACGCTTTCCGTGTGCCAGGATGGGGGGAAAGCCTACAGCTGGCTTCAGTGACTCATTTCCCCATCACCTTCAGGCACTCCGTTTTGCTGGCCTTCAGCTCTTGTTTCCCCATTGCCTGGCTGTGAGTTGAGCTCTTGCTCCAGCTCTCAGACCACAAACTGTTTGACTCCAAATTTTACTGTAGAGAAGGTTGTCTGGAGAGCAGTCTACTCTGTCTTGTGAGAAGTACTGAAGAGCAACTGCAGACAGGTCCTAACAAATCTGGTGAGTCAGAAAAAAGGGAATCGAGGCTGGACTGAAGCAGGATGCTGAAGTCTGTGATCAGATGCAGAAATTCCTGATGTTTGGTTTGGCTTTTAGAAAGGAGAGGGAAGTTGGTGTGAAGTGACTCCTGCAGAGTCACATAGGCCTAGGATGACAAGAGAAGGTGAGTTTTCTAGGAATATTACTTCAGGTAATTTTCAGATCTATTTGTGGTACTGATGTTGGTCGCATCGTCAGTCAGCCTTGCTACCATAAGTGCCATAGCTTTTGTTAAACTTTGTTAAAAAAATGAACTGGGATTCTAGAGACCAGCTCTGAGGATGGAAAGAACAAGCAAAGGCATTGCCAAGCCTCTTTCTCTTCTAATATCAGAGTAAACAGTGTTGTAGTTCATACAATCTGGTATAGGGTTTTTTTTAGATTTTCAGGTTTTCATGTTACCAGTATAATGATGGAAAATTTTAAATACCCTTGCAAAGTTTGGTTTTAAAAAATAAAGTACTCATTGTTTTCCATTTGGTGCAGTATCTTCATGCAGTAATCCTGTCAGCAGATACTTGCTGCCTGCTCTGGTTTTGTAGATGGGTGATGTTAAGTGCTTGCATCTCTTGATCAATGTTAATATCTAGGGCACAAAACTTGCAGTCATTAATGGATGTCCCTGCACGTATAGGTCTTATTGACCTCTTTTCTTCTCATTAGCAAGGTAGGAATCAAGCAGGAAATTCAGGAGTAGCTCCTGCAAGTCATGACTGCTTTACTACTCTCCTTATAACCCACAGGTTTTCTTGAAATGGTCACATTTATAATTTGAAAACACTGTCAGAGAGTTTATCAAGATTCTTCATGTTAGAAGACAGCTTACTCAAACAGAAGGAATATGGTCCTTTAGAAAGAGTCACATTTTTGGTGTATGTGTTGTATACAGCCCCTCTCTGATGCTGAATTCTAATAAATAATTAAAGTTTAAAATGTTCCTGTACCCAAATTTCATAATAAAGAGTCTTTTCACAGGTTGAGGGAGTTACGTTTTTCAGATCGCATAGAACAACCATTCTCCATGGATGGAGAATGCCTCCAAACAGCCTTTTCTCCATAACATGTCTGCATTTCATGGTTATGATTCCTAAAACAATGTGTTTGTCTCATTGAGGATAGTATTGCAGTATCCCTAGAAGTGTGACTGAGCCTGAGTCTCTAGTCAAATTATTTGCTTCATCCCTTGCGCAAAAGCCTTTTTTGAGGCTCTGTACCGTCAATTTTCCTATGAAATGGTGGCTACCACAGGTTGACCTGACCTGAACTCTTTGGCTTAAATGTGTGGATGCACCAGACTTCTCAAAAATATCCTGTGTTGCACAGCAATGGGTGTCCTCGTCTTCTGTCTTTCCTGCACTTCCACAAAGCTTCATATTAAAAATATAAAGAAGTGCTGCCTTTTTTTCCATGATGGCACACTTTGAGACTGGCACAGTCTTCTGTCCATGCTGGTTTCGTGTTTGCTGTTGAAGTACCAGATCCTCTGCTTTGCTATCTTTGCTTGAGAAGTCTTTTTACTGGTGCTGCTTTCCTGATGTGCAGACACCTCAGTGCTTTAGTCGTGTGTCTGTTCTGCTGTAGTTCACATGCCTCTGCACAAAAATTGCCTATGAACCAGCTCTTAACTCTGTGGTCAAGCACCCTCCTGGTGCAGTGTGATCTCAGGCTAAGCTTACACTGCAGCAATTTATTGCTCTGACTGTGAGAACTACAAGAAGGCATCTGCCTTGGTACCTCACCCTTTCAGTGCTCTGGAAGGAACCCAGGGTCTTCAGCGGCTCCGTCTGCAGCTTCTTATGTTCCCTTCCTGGGCAGTAACTTGCCCCTGCAGGTGTGATGTGTTCTCATGGCTTCATGCCCCTGACTTGGAATAGCTTATTTTGCTGTGTCCACTCTCATAACTTTGTCTTCTTATTAAATCTATTTAAAAGTATTCTTTTTGAAGAGGGGAATTGCTGGAGGGCTTTATGGACATGTCGTAATTTTATTTAAAAATGCAGGCGTTTTAGCACTGCCAGTGTTCTCAGTGACCTAAACACAGATTTATGATAGGTCATGATGGTGGTGGTTGGTGTACTCCAAAAACCTGTTTCTCTCCTTATAATTTATACTGAAAATAGGAGATTTGCAACACCATATATATTTAAATTCTTCCCTCTCCCTATTCTCATTCTTCTGTTTTTGTCTTTTTTATCTGTCAAATGCCAATGCAATGTGCCAGAGAGAAACATGTATTTTATCTCTTCAGGTATTTTATGCTGCCTTGGACCAAATCTACCATGGGAAACATCCTCTAAAAAAGTCAACCACAGAAATTTTAAAGGAAACACAGGAAAAAGTTTATGGATTGCCATATGTACCTAATACAGTAAGTAGAAACACACTGACTATATAAGCCACGCCTTTTCTTTGATAGCATCTTAATACCCCTACCTCTTTGCACACTCACATGCTTATTGTTGTAATGTTGAAAGGATTTTTTTTCTTTCCGCCGCTTTTTCCAGAGAGCAGAGTGTTGAAAATTTTCAGCTAAAACTCAGAATATAATTAATGTTCTTATTTTTGTACAGGTGTAGTCTTGTGCTGAACTTAATTACTTTTCATTTTATTTTCTTATTAAGAAAGGCACTGGAACCAACTCATTTATTCTAGCTTTGCAATGACTGTTTGGAAAAGGCAAAGTGCTGTGCTGCATGTTGGTGTTTGTAGACTGTCAGTGTTGGCATGTGAGAGCAAGTCAGTGTGAAGTGAGTTTTTCCCACTGTACTGCTGTGACCTTTGGCACGACACTTACTTATCCTTTCATGCGGTATTTGAAAGTGCTAAAGCCTTGTGTTCTACTGAGCTACGTAATTTTGATCTTCATCATGACTAATCGTGCATTTGTTCTGTGCTTCATGTGACATCCAGTTGAGCACAGACCATAGTCACGGGATTTCCTGGGCTGTCTGGAGCTGAATTCCCAGCTGGAGCATGGCCTGAATCACTCTTTGACATTTTGGTCAGAATGCCCAGATCCTTTCTCTGCTATTTGCTTCTAAGGAAATGTACTTTTCTCCTTAGCAAAAATGGGGCTTTTGTTCTCTGAGAAGGGTATTGGGAAATCCATGCTTCAGCCCTTTCCTCTTTGTAACTCTGCTGCCTCTGCTGGCCTGGCAAAGTGGAAGCAAAAAGATGTCTTCAGAGTACGATGTCTGACTTCCTACCATTTCTATACATGTTGTTTTACACCGTTCCTCCACAGGTGTTCCTCATCCAGTGAATGGAACAGTTCCCTGCTTTGAGAGTTAGCCTGCATGTTTTGTTCCATTTCAAATATTTTTTTATTTGGCTGTTACCTTCAAAAGAGTGTAGTGTCTTGTAATGAGCCTTAGTGTGAAAAGGGACAGCAAGTTTTGGCCTGGAAATTTATCCTAGCAAAATGTACTGTGAACTTTTGAATTGTCAGAAAGTCTATGTTCATAAGAATATAGAATATAGAATTAGTGTGTCTAGTCATGAACTGTAATACAATTTAAATTTCAGTAAAATTTAGTGAAAAATTACATTAGGAGAATATTAGTGCTCTGTAGAATAATTAATATCTGTAATCTGGCTTGCTGTCATTTGCTGCTCTTTCTTCTGAACTTAAGATACGTTTTCAGTTTAATTTGTAGTCCAGATAAAAAAATACGTGTCTTGAAAGTAAAAAGTTGTTTGTTTTTTTTTAAATGAAGAGAGTATATTTTGTCTGTTCATTTCATCTCAGAGCTAGACATTGAAATACAGTAAGACAGACTAGCTTTTATTTTCATCTGTCATTTGGCTAAGTACATATATGGCTGGCAGAGAAAACAAAGTATTTTGATTATTTGAATTTTATCTGCTGTCTATAGGTTTAGATTCAATTATGAATTGCTAGGTCAGGCTTGTAGATTTTAAGTTAGTGGTGTTGGGTGAAAGTAATTCTTCCTTAACTGCATTAATGTGGTTTTCTGTAGTAGCATTGTTTGTCAGATCTGCACAAGCATCTCTTATTATCTCCTCCTGATAAACCTTAATTCCTTCTTGCTGCTCTTGACAGGCAAGTAAACTTAGTAAATATTCTCTGAATGTACTTGGGCTTCAATCTCATTGTGCAGACTCATTTTCTGAAGTAGACCCACAGCAAATATCTTCAGCAGATGAATTTCTGTCTTTCTGAGGCACAGCTCAGATAACAGGACAATTTGTTTGCATCTTTTGTTACAGTACTTTCAAAATGAGGCACATAAACTGCACCCAATAAGTAAATGCTGCTGTACCTATGTGGTGATACCTATTTTAAGGTAAACCAAAGCATCATCTCCAGCAAATACCTTGTCATATGTGTCAACAGTAGGAGGGATAGTGGGGAGAAAATCCTGTCGAAGTCTGTATTTGCCATTCAAGTAGATTTTGGGGCATTGGGGTAGTTGGCATTGCATGCAGTAGTGTTTGCACTGGCTGCATTGACACAGACGGTGGCAGAAGCCAGTGCCCCACGCAAGGCAGGACAGAGCAACAGAGCAGGCTGTAGACAGACAGGAGCACAGAGAAACAGCACTCCATGAGACTTTGTTTTCCTGAAGAATGCAAATCTCAATTTCTGGCTGGCCATTGCTTATCTCTTCAAAAGTACACAGGGTTTGCTGGCTCCTGGAGGATGAAATTCCACTGGGATTTTTTTCCTCTATTACTGAATCCAGAAGCTGACAACTGCCAGGCAGGGGGCAAATAAATGTATCTGCCTGTTTTTGTAGTGTCTGGTGGTTTTGTTGCCAGAAGAGATTTGTGTTACTGAGTTTGGAAAATGAATAGAAATTTTGTGCAGGCTGGATTCTTCAGTCCTTGTGATGCCTTTAAAAAGCAATCAGTCTTCCTTTTGACTCTTCCAAGAAAGCAGGATAAGCCAAATAATAATGACCACACATTTTCCTGCCATTTTTTCCTGAATGTACTTGATGTCAAAATCTCTGCACTGTGGTGAAATCAATACTCTGTTTTTGCTCCAAACTTTTCTTCAAATCATAGCTTATTTCTCATCTCTTGTGAAGCCAGTTTCCATTTACTATGACCTGCCTTGCCATTGATAACATTGCCTGCTTTAGAGTATCTACCCTGGTCTTTTCTACCTTTGTCTCCAGAATGCCCAGAGAGACTTTTTTAAAAGTGTCAGGTAACCCTTTGATCAACCTGAGACATGATCAAAGTTTCTCCCCATGATCTGTTGCTTAGTCCCTTGCCTGTCCCCCAAGTTCAGACTTGAAAACTGCTTTCCTTTGAGACAGTCGTCAAAACTTAATGATATGCCATTGTTAGTCCTGCGCCAAGCATAAGAATTCCTATCTCCTGCTGTGGGTTTCGGTTCAATATCATAACAAAAAATGAGACACAGGGTAAACAAACTCTGCAGTGATAGTGGAGATTGCAGCCTCCTGCAGCCACAGGAAAGAGCTCCCAATAACGAAGTGGTTTTACGATAAACAGCAGTTGCCCAGATCATCATACCTGAATTTTCTTTGTGAAGTATTGAATTACTTTGAATTATTGATTCTTACTTAAAAAAATATTATATTATACATATTAATACAGATTAATTGTCTGCCAATCAGTGTTTCTTCATTCTAGCCTGGAAGTTCAGTGGGAGATGTTGGTTTGACTTGTGGCTGTGAGAAAAAATGGTTTTGAAGAGTGAGGCACAGTGAATCTTGGTTCTTTATTAGATTGCTGCCAAATAGTCCCTTTTGCATTTTTTAAAAATTACATGGCTTTCCAGTAAGCTTTTCTTCCAGAAACAGAAGAATTTCTTGTGTGTTACTTGAATACAAAGTGCTATGTTGGAATTAACTCACACACATTTGATAGGAGGGAATATGTTGGTAAGTAGAGAGCCTTTTGATATTTTTTGGAACACTAACTTGCTTTATACCTTTTTGCTGTAGCATGTTAGGTACGTATTAGTTCAGAAAGACCATGTAAGATTTACATCAGGTTACAGGTTTAATTATGCGTATATACTTCTGTCCAGAGTGCAGGTTTCTTTGGCAGTCTGAGAACTTCTTAATGGCCTGTGGTTGCTGGTAATTGGAGAGACCAAAACACCTGTGAGACCAAATATGTTAGCCAGTCAAGTTTGCCAACAGAAAACAAGGCAGGTATTGTTATAGATACCCTAGAGGGAAGAATGGTATTAAAAATGGTGTATCACCAATGTGGTTGTCAGTCTTTCTTCTTCCTGCAGGTGGGCAGACTCTGCCCAGACAGGGATCCCGAAGTTGGAAGGCTTCACCTAAGTCTTTGTCTCTACTTGCTAGGATTGTATCTTTTGTGTTCCTGACAAAGGAAATCAATGGATGAGATCATAGAATCATAGAATCATAGAATGGTTTTGGTTGGAAAAGATCTTTAAGATCATAGAGTCCAACCATCAAACCAGCCCTAGTTCTGCTACTAAACCATGTCCCTAAGCATGACATCTACTTATCTTTTAAACACCTTCAGGGATGATGACTCAACCACCTCCCTGGACAGCCTATTTCGGTGCTTGACATTACAGTAAAGAAATTCCTCCTAATATCCAATGTCAACCTCCTCTAGTGCAAGTTGAGGCCTTTACCCCTTGTCCTATCACTAGCTATGAGGGAGAAGAGACCATCCTCCATCTCACTACAACCTCCTTTCAGGTAGTTGTAGAGGGTGATAAGGTCACCCCTCAGTCTCCTTTACTCCAGACTAAACAACCCCAGCTCCCTCAGTCACTCCTCATAAGACTTGTGCTCTAAACACTTTACCAGCTTTGTTGCCCTTCTTTGGACACGCTCCAGTGTCTCAATGTCCTTTTTGTAGTGAGGGGACCAAAACGGAACACAGTATTTGATGTGTGGCCTCACCAGTGCCAAGTACAGGGGAACGATCACTTCCCTGGTCCTGCTGGTCACACTATTCCTGATGCAGGCCAGGATGCCCTTGACCTTCTTGGCCACCTGGGCACGCTGCTGGTTCATATTCAGCTGACTGTTGACCAACACCCCCAGGTCCTTCTCCAGGCTGCTCTCCAGCCACTCCTGCCCAAGCGTGTCGCGTTGCATGGGGTTGTTGTGACCCAAGTGCAGGACCCAGCACTTGGCAACCTAACATTTGGAGTGCTTGCTCAGGGTGGCTGTCAGGCACTACACAAAGACGTGACTTGCCATGGGTGCTGAGAACACAAGGATTGCATTAATGGAGCACATATAAAGGCACCTGGGAGGTTGGTCAGCTGAAGAGGAGTTGGTGTCACTAGACAGAACTAGCTTCTCTGCAGAGAGAAAATAATTTCTATGTCGCACGTTGTCACCATGTACCCAAGCCTCCTTTTTATTTTGTTGG